AAGTAGCGAGCGAGCTGGTGGTTCACCTGATGTTAAGTGGTAAACACCGCCCGTTGACATTTGCAACACCCGTAGGTTTCCAGATGCGTTGCCGCCTTACAATAAAGTTTGCCGCGGCAACTCACTCACCAGACGAAACACAGAAGTATAACAGTTCTACTTCACGCAGGTCTTCGGTGAGATCGTGGTTCGTGGCTCTGCCCGTTCGAGCCGAAGTGAAGACTTGCGTGGCCCTACATCATACACAGTGGCAATACAGCCAGCCCTATACAGTAAATGGTAATGGTGGATAACTAGCGTTCCAGATATCCTCTCTAGTTGACAGACATCCCAGATTATTAAATTAATTTCGACTGCATGGTTGACGCAATGCTTCTGATGGTCGTCTTTCTAACGGCTATTACGATGCGTGCTATTCGATTTCCGGGACAAAACACGGGAAAACAATTGTATGATTGATAAGTAAAGGCACTTTTGTGTTTTGTGAGTACATAATTTAACACTTATACTATACACGACACGATCATTATCAATTGCAAAAATTTGTTATGGGTATGTAGTGTCAGAGAATTTCTGTCAGCCCTATGTCCACGCGTTCAAAATTTTTAAGCAATTTTTTTTAAGAATATCACTAGGGCGAAATTGTTCAAAACTACTCCTGGATTCCGTTTTATACTGTTTGAATTAAAACGGCAGCCAATTTTACGCGGGTCGAATACAAAAGATTGAATGAGAATGCTGCGTTTCTGTTTTTTTTTCTTTCGCCAACCGGAAGCGTAGCGTCGCAGTTCCGAATTCAAATTTCGAAATTGGATCGGAAGGGATGCTGAGTCGACTTTCCGAGGGTGGATCTCGGGCCTCGGCTTGCGGATGTTTTGTTTTTCGGACGATTTCACATCGCGTTCGGAATCCTTGAGCGGAATTATCGTGAGCGAGTTTCATGGAGGCGTTTTAAGATGTTTTCAAGTCGATTTGGCGATAAATAAATATAAATTTGTAGAAGTCAACACACTGTATTTGCTATAATTTTATAATTTTGTATAATTGTCTGTTAAAATAATAAATACCTAATCTAAAATAGTAATATATCCTAGTTCAAATAGTCTTTCATTTAATTGGAAGTCTATCGGTTTTGTTATTCACATATAATTTTAGTAAAGGCGTACTACGACCCTGCGACCCCTGAGAATTAAGGAATTGTTTTAATTATATCCTGTTTCTATACCACCTACGGTGTGAACGGACAAATCGACCACATAGAGGGAGCTTTAATCAAAAATCAAAATTAAATGTCTTTATTCAACATACGAAGTATTACACTCACTTATTGATAGTCAAAATACTACCACTGGTTCGGAAAAGAAAGCCACTGTACTGAGAAGAACCGGCGAAAGAAACTCAGCGGGCTTTTTTTTTAATTAAACAGTTTGACATGAATTCATTACAAATACAATGTAAGAACTCTGAAAGAGCCTGGAGCGATCAGTTCATTACCAGAGTGTGTTATCATTTAAATAGTCACTAATATTATAATAGCCTGTAACACACAAACGTTATTTTACTATTTTTTTAAATTTAGCTATTGATGCATTTTTGAAATTGTCATTGTCCCATAAAAGATTTACTTATTTTACGCAGTCTACTTGTGGGTAGGGTCAATTTATGTTTCTTCCTACTATTGGTATCATGAACATTATTATGTCTTGAAAATTTACCGTTATTTTTATGGAAATACATAACATTTTCAAAAATGTATTGAGAAGCAACAATCAATACCTTTATCTCTTTAAACAATTTTCTTAACGATTCAGTCACCTCCGTTCCAGTAAAGAGACAGCTGATATGTCCCGAAGGCGAGCAAAGCAGGTATTAGAGCATAGTCCACCTCGCGACCCCACCGCGGATTGGCAGATGTCTCAGATTCCTTACGGACACTGAGCTATTACGGCTGATCATCTTAGAGCTTACTCTTAAAAGCCATCACCGCTTTCGCCGTGCTCGTTTTTCTTTCCATATAAAGGTATGATTATTCGTTAATTTTTTTTTATGCGAAAAGTTGTCAAACGAACAGTCGGGTCACCTGATGTTAAGTGAATACCGCCGCCCATGGACATCTGCTACACCCGAGGGTTGCAGATGTGTTGACAACCTTTTGAAAATTGGACTCCGGCTACCCCACTCACCAGAAGAAACGCGAAAGTATTTGTCATACTTCCACTTTACGCTAGTCTTCTGTGAGGTCGTGGCACTTACCCGACGGGCCTGCCCATTCGTGCAACAGCCGAGGCTGCTGCGTGGCCCTTCCACCGTAGGGCCACGCAACACAAAAAATCACCTAGTTAAGTAAATAGTACATTTATACGCGTGTATTTCATATTTAAAAAGTTTCCTATAGGATAACATTATCCTGTGTTGTAAGGATGTTTTACATACGTGAATATTACGTGAACAAACACCCAGATCCGGGACAGTTATCACAGAAATGATGGTCCCATGTGGGAATCGAATCCAGGAGCCTACGAACCCAAAAACTTGGCAACTGCCACTGTGTCATTATTCGTGACAAAGCAAACATGCAAAATCTAGGACGCAGACAAATTGTTATGATCTGTAACCAATAGGTACACTTTCCAGTTCATAAAGTTGATCTCCATCGCTGTTAAGTTTATGTACAAACTTCCCGAGTTACTGCCTTTCTTCTCAACAATTTATCACTATGAAGAGCGCTACGTGCGCGATCGCTCCAGAGAAAAAATTTTCTTCGGGTTGTCTTTGGTAGGACCTTTTCTTTTAGTAGTTGGTAAAGTGTAAGCGGAATTTAGACGGCATAATATTATCTATACAAATAAATAAAATTGGAATGTCTGTTTGTAATGTTAAAATAACCAACAACCATGTACCGTGTAAACATCCGTATGCATTACATCGGTACATATACCAAAATGATTTTTTTTACAATTTTTGTCTATTTGTCTGTCTGTTTGCTCCGGCTAATCCTTGAAACGGCTCGACTGATATTGACGGGAAGTTCACGGGCAGATAGCTGATGTAATACGTAGTAACTTAGGCTGCTTTTATTTTAGAAATTTTATTTATTATTGTTAATATATAAAATATAATTCCACGCGGACGAAGTCGCGGGCACCGCTAGTAATACATATATAACGTCTTCTGTGCGTGTGTATGTAACTGAACTCCTCCTAGACGGCTGGACTGATTTTGATAAAATTTTTTGTACGTGTTCAAGTGGATTCGTGAATTGTTTAAATTCACAATTAAGTCTACTACAAAATGCTTTTTTTATTATTTTTTTATTTATAACTTTCGGATTTAATATGTGTGTACAGGACAACGTCTTTCGGGTCCGCTGGTTTTCTATATTATATTGTTTTAACGTCATCATTAACTAGAAAACTTCACATCGTCTGGTAACAAATAACTGGCTAGGAAATACATATATTCCCAAGAACGATATTGGAAATGTCATCACGCAAAGTTAGAGATCCATTATTTATTATCGGTGACAAGATTTGGGCTTGACGTAATAGGCACAGTTGTAAGATAGATTTTTAAACGCAGGAAAAAAGGGGGGCACGCGAAATGAATTCGAAACGTCATCAATGCTCGAGTCGACGTTCTAACCGCTGAGTAATTCAGGATTTTTTTATCTCGTCTACGTACCTTAACGGTGTTTATAAAAGAAAATATCATCCATATTTTTGCATTCGTTATAACATTTCCTCCCCAGCTCGTACGGTTTCCTTCAATTTTGGCCGTTTCATGAATTTTCTTTCCACTAAACAAGCAATATACGCGTGTGTACATCCGAGATATTGCCTTTATTAGATTCACGTATTTTAACTTATATGTGACGCAATAAATTACCATAACGCATACCGTACACATATTCGACATGATATTTTCAGTTTGAAAACAAAAAGGAAAAGTGTAAAAGCCAAGAGAGTGTAAGAAGTGTAAGAAGAAAGTAAAGTATAGCTTACAACATTTAACAGCCCAACCTCCTATGTTCGGAAGTTATTAGGCCATTGTCCTCCACGCGATGCCACTGCGGATTGGCGGACTCCTATGTGAATTCTTCAACTGTGATATTTTAGATGCCGCCAAGCATTGCAATAAAAATTAAGTAGATAAGAGATCGAGCCGTGATAGCGCAGTGTCCGGGTGCTCGCCTTTAATTCAATATACTCGAGCAAATTGATTTCTATCTCCGGTGCCGGCACCGATGAAATTGTTAATTTTGAGTGCTGACTTATCACGTGCTCAGCTGTGAAGGGAAACATCGTGAGGAAACCTGCATAGTTTCGAAATAATAACAAAAAAACTATTTCGAAAATATGTGAGGTTCACCAATCCGCAGTGGGGCCGCGTGGTGGACTATGCCCTGATACCCTCTGTACAGAGGAGGCCTTTTCCCAGCAGTAGGACGTGTATAGACTGCAACTTTACGCGCAGTGAGGACTTCACTCCTTAGCTTAGTGGCTAGAGCGAGCTCGAATCCTGCCGACGGCAAAAAAAATTGCGACAGTTTTATCATAAGTTTTTAAGTTTCATCTAAAATGCAGAGATTGGCACTAAAGATTAAAAGTTACAACTAACATTTTTAAATACCTATTTCTTGAACTTAGGCCCATTGCAGGCACACATTCAAACTCGTGCTTTATGATTTGAGACTTGCTGTATCTCTAATACAATAAAAAATATATATATGCAGAAATGTATTCTACGTAGAATGCAAACATTACGGTGGTCTTGTTTGAACATAAGGTTGATCTGGTTAGTTTTTTTCACATATTCTTTTGTTCTGTCAATAAACCGATACTTATCATGTGCAGCGCTGAAGGAAAACATCGTGAGGAAACATTTAAAACATTTCAAACATTTCGAAGGGGTCTCGTGGACTATGCCCTAATACCCTCTGTACAGAGGAGGCCTTTTCCCAGCAGTGGGACATATATAGGCTGTTAATTTACGAGTAGCTGATGGTGGACAGCCGTGTGACAGTGCCCGATCGTCCAATGGAATATTTACTAAGCACCACGGTATCTGGCAACACTCCACCAGCCCCGCTCCCTCTCGCCGTCGCCGTTCTCGTGTTATCCGAAACGTTTCCAAATAAATATAATAAGGGGTGCGATCTTAAGGCACCGGGGCCGATCTGTTATTCAGCGGGCGGTCGCTTCGCAGCCGTGCAGCGCAACTCAATATTTGAACAGATGTGCTTTCGGGGCGGGGTGGCGGCAGGCGAGAATGTTATTTTTATGCGACCTACATGGAAATGTCGATGCCGATGCCGATGCTCGCGCGGCTAGGGGCGGGCCGTGTTGGGCTATCGACGCCGATTGCCGACATCGATTGATTTGCTTTTTATAATTTATCGATATTTTTTTGATCGGTGATTCGTCGCGTTCAGTCGTAAGCTCCAATGTCCACCGACCTTGATTACAGTACAGAAATGACTGCACGTCTTCAGGTACTTTAAAGTGGTGTTGATTTTATTTCCACTTTCGGTTCGAGCGAACTTCCAATGTTGAAACTTAGATATGATATTTTGGTTTCAATTCAAAGGAGACAGCTAAGATGGTAATATAGCTTGTTGGCGCACTTTGGGGGAGGCTTACGTTCAGCAGTGGACGGCAATAGGCTGAGATTGTGTATTGTAAATGTGGCTTATAAATGGGTGTTTATAAATTCCTATTTGAGACCCAGATAGAGATAAATGTGTGACCTATCTTCAAGGCGGTAGACGTATTTATAATACTTCTGCAGCAAATTTCTATGAGCGGTGTTAATTTTAAGGAGAAAAACGAGTAAAACCTATTTGCTCGTTTGCCCCCTTTTCTGTAAAAGAAGGCTTCTATAGATAATCGATTGTAACCAGGCTTTATCCTATCTAAAACTAAGTGAGGGTTAATAAATGCATTGCCAAATTATTTATTCAAGTAAAAGTTGGTGACCACAACGTGATCTTGCGACAAGATTCAATAATTGTCAAGATATCTTTACCGTACGTACGGTAATTGCACAGGAATTGCGCAGGACATGCAGAAGGTGATATATTTTATAACTTCGCTTGGGTAGGACCCTTTTTAGGTTGGGACCGCAAATGCGGGTCGTGGACGTTACCACTGCGGCGTTGACCGCTTAGAATCAGGTGAAACGTAGCTCGGTTGGTAAAGAAATAAAACACATTGAAACAAGGAGGATCCAAACGCTCGTTAACCTTTGATGAACACGATGGAGATGCATCAAGCTCCGTTAAGAGAATGGACGCTTGGAAAAGCGAACAGTTGAAGAACTCGACTATCGACGTTTCCGCAACCCTTTGCCAAAAATTACCCTTTCCGAGCGCCCGTCGGTGCGCCCCCCACCACCCCGCGCCACCCCCACCAGACTGAAACAAGAATTTGTTTCTTAATACGATCCTTCTCTATTATTTAACGAATATTACCATGAATTTCGGAAGGGTTGCCGAGGGCAAACGTCGGGACGTTATCCGTTTTGTTTGCCGGTTTGTATTTTTTTTTACTATTCAGGGGACAGCTAATTATAAATATATGCAATTAGTGCACCTACTTAAACTTCTCTGGACCACCCAAAGGTTGACTGGTGGATAATGCTGAGGGCAAGTCCGCCTCTGTAAATATTTTGTGTGCCTAAAGTATAAATAAATAAATAAATATGAAGTAATGGCCAATTATAAAACTGATAATGAACACAAATTAATTCATTGTATTTCGACTGCTCCCAGAGACGCACACTAAAATAATTCATTGGTCAGGTTGATGTTTATTAATAAGGCTTTAAGAATGAACGAAGTGCTAATTGAAGACTGTGGTGCACCTATCTCAACTTGTCTGGACCATCCGTTACGTTGACTGGCAGAGAATGCATTTGGCACTAAGCCAGCCTATTTAGAAAGTTTTTTTTCTGGTGCACAAAGTTTTCAAAAATAAAAAAAATATGCGTACACCTTGACTGTGAATTGATACATGTACCCACCCTTTCGAATGGACGCTTGGAGACAAACCTAAAGTCGCGTGTCGGTCTTACACGAGCCGTTCCCACGGGAGAGGTCACATGGAGTCTCGCCTGCCCTCCCCTCACATCCACCCGGATCTAATCCTCCGCGTGTAATGCGTTTTATGTCTTCGCGCTTCGTCGTCGCGTCTTGATTGATTCCGCGTTTGCACCTTCGTACCTCGACCTTGGTTTATGAACTGCAACTAAAATTGGGGTACAAAGTGTTTACTTAAAGCGTAACAACTCAGACCTTGGTTTATAGGGTGCAATTGTGGTACACAGTTTGTACTTAAAGGCTGAACTATCAAGGTACATGGTACGATGTGGTCTGACGTATATTTTGGCTCGCTACACTGTATATCGAGACATGTGGTGCCTCGTCAAATAGATCTGTGGTAAGAACATACATGAAAAGCATGGTTACATATTACATTTATTTTTATAGAGAGATGACAAAACCGAAACAGCAATGGTTTGATCCAAAGTCCATTGAGGTTTGAGATATAAAGTGCATCGAGGCTCAATCGGTGCAATGAAACGTCGGGTAAATAGTGCAGGGAGGTTTAAAGAACAAAGTATTGTTACCAGAAATTCACTATATATTCAGTGCTGAGGAGTTACATTGAGAGCTAAGATATGACAAAATGACTTGCCTTGGATACTGATGTGCCTTAGTGATGCTGTGTGAGTTTATAATGATAATAAAAAATTAATACGTTTGTAGCCGTGATAGCTTAGTATCCGGGTGCTCGCCTTTAATTAAATTTACTCGAGGAACCTGAGTTCGATCCCCGGTCCCAGCAACAATGAAATTTTTAATTTTAAGTGCTGAATTGTCACATGCTCAGCGGTCAAGGAAAACATCGTGAGGAAACCTGCATAATTTCGAAATAATAATAAAAAAATATATTTCGAAAATATGTGAAGTCCGCCAATCCGCAGTGTGGTCGAGTGGTGGACTATGCCCTGATACCGTCTTTACAGAGGAGGCCTTTGCCTAGCAGAGGGACATTTATAGGCTGTTACTTTACTTTTTTACTTATACGTTTGTAGCAATTTATACACGTCTTCTTCTTTCTACTGCCTTTATCCCATTCAGGTGGGTTTGATACAACATGTGCGTTTCCTCTGGTGAGTGGGGTAGCCGTGGCTCACTTTATTTAAAGGTGACAACGCATTTGAAACCCTAGGGGTGTTGCAAATGTCCATGGGCGGCTGTCATCACTTAACATCAGGTGAACCGCCAGCGCGTTTGCCACTTTTTCACATTAAAAAAAATGTGAACCATGTTGTCAATGGCGTACAAGGTCTAGGTGATTTAATATTTAAAATGAGACATACGGACGAGAGAAAAGTCATTTGTTTCGTTTACTTTGTCCCAATAATCAGCCTGTAGATAGATCTGAATCCCATAACTACTCCCCTCCACCGACTATTAATCACGATGGAAGAACAACTGAATGGGAAACTTTCGCCGATGTCGTTACTCTATTTCGGACAAAGATTTATTGAGTTGTTTTTTTTATAGAAAGGATTGGAAATATTTGCGGGACTTTCTCAGTCAGAGTTTCCAGCTCTCTTGTAATTATATCGTGGTTTAAAAAGACATGCGGGGGGTGGGTGTTCTGGTTGGCTGGAGGAGTTCGACTCATAATCTACGGTGTATGTTTAAATCCCAGTGGTGTGACTCTTCGCTTTTCGATTGGGCAGAAAACACTGTTATATTAATAAATAAATAAATATATTTATTAGGACACATTTTAATACAACCGTTCTCTAGTCCCAAACTAAGCAACGCTTGTACTATATTTACTAGATTACTTATAAATAAATACTTTACTTTTGTAAATAAATACATGTTATACATATTTAAACACCCAGACACTGGAAAAACTCTATGATCATCACACAATATTCCAGTAGTGGGGATCGAACCCACACCTTCTGGCGCAGAGGAAGGTTCACTACCAACTACGCCAATTGGGTCGCCATATTTAATTTTGTGACCGTACATCCGACATAAGATGTCCGTTACCCGTTGAAGATAGGTTGTTTTAGCTATCATTGCTATATTCCTTTTGTAAATGATGTGATTACATATATTTTTTTATATATGCTGTCGAATGTTCAACACGTCTGTAACTTAAAATTGAAAGTTATAAAGAATCCATTAATATATTAATAACCTCATTTCACATGAAAAATCCGCTGGCTCTGTTTTGTTTAAAAGTTTAGTTAAGTTATTTTTTTAGCAATTTGCTTATATTGCTTTGGTACTTGCGTATTAACGCCTATTTGTGTATTATCGCCACCGCAGCTACAGATTTGGCGATTTAGGTTAGGTTAGGTTACGTTTTGATTTTAAATAAAACACTTTATTCTAAATCTAAACCAAATCTAACCTAACTGCGTGCGCGTGCGTACAAGATTGCTCTTTATTGGCGCATAAGCGTCACTTATTTTGCCGCGGTGGCGTTAATACGTAAGTACCTTACGTACCTCATTTAATTCGTAACCTTACCTTAAATTGTAGAAACACATCTACATGATGTGTTTCTACAATGTTTACTGACCCACTGTGCTGCTATGTGGATACTCTACCTTCATAGCATAAAATATCTTTTTATATATATTTTAAACAATTTAACCTTACCTTACAACCCACTAAAGGTTTTAAAACGCTCGAGGGCGGAACGAAACTCGGGACCGCCGGCCCGAGGTCAACTCGTAACATGCCATTAAAGTCGCAACGAACGAATTGAATTATCATTAACGTTACTTATAGTTAATTAAGTTACTTTAATGATATTTTTTCACTTGGATTTATATTAAACGACCTCAAATAAGTAAGTTAAAGTAGCCGTGCCCGTGAATATAATGTTTACTGTTAAGTAGTACCCAATGACTGACGCCATATGAACAAATGAACTTCATGATTAAACTGTCCGAAAAGCCACTGTATCCGACTCATGTTAAATCGTAGTCATAACTGTTAATTGAATAGGTAATATAACTCTTAATCTCTAGTAATATAACGATTTATATAATATATTATAGCGACATATAGTTACGGTATTTGTCACCAGATTTGAATCAGTTCATTTCGATTTTCTACCTTAATGCCTTAATAATCTTAATGAATAAGAATTTGTGTGCAGCGAGACGTTGAACTTAGCGTACGCTTAGTCAACTTCGTAGCAATGACACTATTTATTTTTTAACAAATATCCACATAATTTTTTTTAATGAAAAATGGAGGATGATTCAAGTGGAGAAGGTTTAAGTG